CGCTTCTGTTTCTATTCATCCAACTCCTTTCGTTCTCACTTCTAGTTACGGTCATTTACATTTTGTGCACATCTCCCAGTCCGGAGGTGATGGCGGAGCAGAGCCGACCGGTTCAAATATATTCATGTATCGCTTGAAAATGTAAGTCAGCTTCTTTTCACCCCAATTACCATAAACTCGCTTCGTTGTTAGTGACGGTTCGGTCAAGTTAACTGACATTCTGGCTGTGGAAGCTCCTGGTCCGCTGACCGTCAGTCTGATTGATAACCTGATTCTAGTACATCATCAGACACAAATGGTATGAGCTGTTTTTGTCAAACCTGATTATCACCATTGATGGTCCCCAGGTTACCTATGTCTATGATATTGCAGTACGTGGCAAGCAATCCACATTGAAAGCATTTGTGCACAAACCTGTCATCCAGCCGGCTCAATCGATTGCCCCTCTGTCTCTGGCTTCCAACAGTAAGCTCGATCATTGTAGTATGATTTGTTTTGTGTTTTGTTTCTGCATTGGTATAGTTTCCCATTCGGATTTATGTTCCAAAACCACCAATATTTTATTCACACACATAGACTGACCTCTATCCAAAGAGATGGGAGTGGTTTTTGTTTTCTGTCGGCTGGTCGCAGTTTGAGTACTACTGCCGAGAAGATTTTTTAGTTCTGCATTTAAAAATGAATCTTAATGGTATTGAAATGCGTCCCACTTTCTAACGATTTTCTAGAAAAAGCGATATAATCAGCTGCTCAAGCACATCTGTTCTACGTGTTTTCATACGTTGATAAGCTGTTGTACCACTCAGTCGTCCAACTCGGAATAAGAGACTCCCACTAGGGACCTCGCTTTAAGCCTTCGAACCTCTTTGAACGCTAATCTGACGTCCAATGTGTTCAGTTTACACCAATCGAGCTGATGGTTGTTTATCCAGGAGACCTGTGCCTTATCAAGTTTGGTTTATAACTAGGGGTTTCTCAAGAGATAGCTGCCGGTGGCTCGTCAACCTGGTTATGTTCCCTGAGATCGACTGTCCACACTTTCGCGTCTCTGGAGGTAACCCGATCATCAGAAAGCAGTGAGTACAACTTCCCAGCTGACAGTGTGAACACGTGTCATAAGAGAACACTTCAAATAGATTTCGGGACCAGGAAATCCTCTCACCGAGCACACTCGGTTTCGACAATTTTGGGGCGTTCAGGGGTGTGAAATCAGTCAACCACAAAAGCGATCACAGCATAACGCCGACGTATCGGCGTATGCACCGACCGATTGCAGTATACCTGAAATTAAGGATGAATTCTACGAGGACCTCTCCCAACTGCTCCAAAGTGCTCGGGCAACGGACGTCGTAGTAGTCGCCGGGGACTTCAGCACGAATCAGAAAGGCTTCTTGGCGGACCACATGCAATCCCAGCCAACCGGACGGACAACGAAGATCGCCTACTTGGACTCTGCACGGACCACGGATTGTTCCTGTCAAACACGAACTTCTCGCACAAGAAACGCCATCGACTTACCTAGAAACCGCTAACCTCTTCACTGCGCTGGACCCAAATCGACCAGATAACCATCAGTTACCGCTGGAGGGAATCAATTCAAGACTGTCGCTCTTACTGGTCAGCAGCTGTGGATACAGACCACACCTTGATACGAGCCAAGTTCTCCTTACGCCTGGCAAACAACCGAAAAAAGCCACCGACAACGGATATCCGCGATACAGTGTCA